CTCGGACACAGCTGGCGAGTACCTAACTCCTAATGCTGGAGGAAGCTGAGCTCGCGTTTGACACGAACAAAAAAAAATCGAATTAAATTAATTAGAACAAACAGAAAATTTAGTAGCGTAATTGAACACAATGAGAGTTCGTTGACCTCTGACATGAAGACAAGTGCCCGACCTTCTTGTGACGAGTGAATAATCTGATAATTTTTAGCATTACACAATTACGTTTAATTACATACAATTAACATTACTGGTGGCAGGACCTTTTGTGAGTCCGCGCGGGTGTGTACCACCACCCTGCCTGTTTCTGCCTTGAAGCAGTAATGCGTTTCGGTTTGAAGGGTGGGGCAGCCGTTGTAACTTACTTGAGACCTTAGAACTTATATCTCAAGGTGGGTGGCGCATTTACGTTGTGAATGTCTATGGGCTCTGGTAACCACTTAACACCAGGTGGGCTGAGCTCGTCCACCCATCTAAGGAATAAAAAAATAAAAAAAAAACTACAAAAAAAATTTCGTTCTTTGTCCTAACGTTCATACTGAGGCTTTTGACTTCACCGAATTCCGGGTGCAACAGTTGGCTTCAAAATGTCATTTTGAATTTTACTGTTTAAAAGTTAGGCGCATGAGGGTAAAATTTTTACAGAACGTCACGCAGGTATGCAACGGAAGTGACATCAAACTACTATTGAAATTAAGTACTTGTCAAATGTCACTAGTAGTAGTTGTTGTATTTTTCCAACTGGAAAGGCAAATGTATCATACCATACAGCCTAATATTTTATAATACTTTTTTTTTTGGGAAAAATGTTAATAGGAATTGACAGATTTTTGGCGGGAACATGTCTTCCTTTTTCCCTTCCTCTAAGTCTCGGAAATCTAAAGTTTTAGATTTGTACAAATATAAGCAAGACTTATAAATTAGTTCGCCAAATATGTTTCACTTCTGACATGTGTACTTTGTAGGCACGCACTTTTTTTTTATAAATTTTAATTAATTTTAATACTTTCAAAAAAGCCGCGCCATGAAAGTGGGGTGTTTACGTTTACACAGTGCCACTAGATGGCGCTCGAGTCATAAACAACGATCAGGTGTTTTGTACAAGCCAAGAAAAACTTAAAATGTCACGAAAGTGTAAATACGATGCTGATGCATTTTGTTTCATTCGTGGTCAATTTATTAAAGTTCAAAAGCAAACTGTTTCATGTCATGTATTTTTTTTTTCGTCAAATTACGATTTAAAATATCAAAATTTTATGCTTTACAATCAAAGTCAAATTTGGTGTTGATCCGTGTTATCTTTCATAAGCCGTACGTTGTGTGTTCACCTTTCTTTGTATTGCTTAGATAGGTGGACGAGCTCACAGTGGTTACTGGAGCCCATAGACAACTTCGAGGTAGATGCGCCACCCATCTTGAAATATAAGTTCTAAGGTCTCAAGTATAGTTACAACGTCTGCCCCACCCTTCAAACCGAAACGGATTACTGCTTCACGACAGAAATAGGCACGGTAGTGATACCTACCTGCGCGGACTCGCAAGAGGTCCTACCACTAGTAAGATATAACCCTTCTCGAACTTTCCCGCTAATACTAGTTGTTTTCATATCAGTTTTTTTTTGCTATTTGATAACAGATGGCGCTACTCGTGTCTACACACGTCCGATCTACAAATTCCGGACGAACACAATCGGGATATCCGGTTTCGTGTAAATGTCAAATCCGTTTATCTAAAACTAGTGAACCGGATCTCGGACTACACAATATCCTTATCAAATTTTAATGTTCGATTATAAATTATAATAATAGGTACGTTATCTGTAAATCGACACAGATAAACAATTAAGTAATACCATTTATTACAATTGCAGACTTATCTGTTCATATTCATCCATACTTTTTTATTTGTTTGATATTATTATAAATGTGAAAGTGTTTATTTGTTTGCTTTTTGTCCTTACTGAAGCAAAACAACGGATTGACATGTTTTTTAGTTCAAATGATAGTATTAGGCGAGGATTAAAACATCTAATTTTCTTTTATTTTTATCATAGCAATCTCTTAAAGCTTTCATGTCAATATTGTATTAATGGCTGACAAATTTTATTTTTATTTGTTGACAGTTAAAATTCTTTGCATCGAGATAGAGAGAACGGTATGCTAAAGTCTGGCGGGTTGTTTAGAACTTTGTTTTTAATTTTCGCAGCAATGTGTTCTTACATAAATAAAAAAACGTCGAAAAATATCTATACTAATATTATAAAGAGGAAAGATTTGTTTGTTCGTTTGTTTCGAATAGGCTCCGAAACTACTGGACCGATTTGAAAAATTATTTTTCCATTAGAAGCCGACATTGTCCCTAATGAACATAGGCTACTTTTTTTTATTTTTTTTTATTTATTTTTTTTGGTTTCATGTGTGTTTTAATGTTTCCGAAGCGAAGCGAGGGCGGGTCGCTAGTAGGTATATTATAAAATTAAAAAACAAACATGAGCGTTATGACAAGTCATTATGACCTAAAGAATAAAAAATAGTTAGGGTACTTTTATCGAATGACGCGCTTATGTCGAAGTTCGAATCCCGAAGACAGCTACCAATTTTTCGAATGAAATACGCAATTAGCAAATGTTTACAAATGACTTTTTCAGTGAAGGAATAACATCTATAGTCTATAGATCTATAGATCTATAAAAAAATGAATTGCTGTTCGTTATGCCGGCCACTGACATGCGCGCATATATTCGTACATTGTACGAATGTTTGCGCGCATGTGAAGGGCCGTCAAACATTCATTCGCAAACCTAGCGGCTGTGCAAATGGGTTCGCATACTCAATTTGCGAACCCGTTTGCGCTTCCTCCTACACTTGTTTACGAATGTCTCACGAATTTCTCCTCCTTTTTAATTCCTCAATAGAACATTGAAAAGAAAAAGAGTTTTGAATTCTTTCCCAGACATCATTAACAGCCATGCTGTTTTTATGGGATTTCTTTTGATGAAGATACGCTACACGGTAGACGTCACGAACTATAAAAATGGCGTATAGTATACGTTCGTTACCTTCGCAATCGTCGGCGCAACTGGGCAAGCGAATGTGTGGGAGACTACGCAAAGGTTCGAGGTTCGCGCGCTTTGATGTCTGTTAAAAAACCGACACAGCTTGGAAAACCACGAATGCAGCGAAAACTTTGCATAATCATTCGCAAATGTCGTCCTACACTTGTGTGGTTTGCGTATTCGTGCGCATGTGAGTGACCGGTGTTAGTCTCGCTCGCTAAAACTCGAGAATGGCTGCACCGATTTGGCTAATTTTGGTCTCGAATTATTTGTGGAAGTCCAGAGAAGGTTTAAAAGGTAGATAAATATGAAAATGCTAAGAATTAAATAAATAAAAAAAACAATTTTGTTTTTCCTTTGATGTGTCCCCCGTTGGACGGATTCCTTTTGTTTGTTTTAAGTTTATTTTATTTATCGATTGAGGCACTACGAAGTCTAGTCTTTCGGGTCAGCTAGTTGTGTAATAAAATAGGTAAAATAGGATAGGTAGCACTATCCTGCCTATTTCTGGCTTGAAGCACTAATGTGTTTTGGTTTGAGGAGTGGAGGCAGAGGTTGTACTGTAAAACCGAGACATAGAACTTCTATATTGAGCTGGATAGCAGAATTTACATTGTTGACCTTTATAGGCTCTGATAACCACTTAAAACTGGATCATTCACCAATAAGCAATAACAACAAAAAAAAAAAAGACAAACAAAATAAAGATTTAGTACTACTCTAAGCACCTGTCATTTTTGTAAATACTTTGACATTGGCAAAATCAATGACAAAGGAGTTGGAGCCAAATTATCTAAAAGAAGAAACAAAAAAATTATATGTTACTTTCATTCTAATTAAATTCCCATATTTAGTTTTAATCATTTACATTTCATGAATGGAATAAAGAAGACAAAAACGGGAGACTATCTGCCAATCGTTATTTATAACGAACGTGATCTCACCAACACATTGAAGTTTGAACTTTGTATTCATTATTACATTTCCTGATTTGATTTAGCTCCATAGTACTTAGACATAACAACGCGGCCTTGATGTATAAAAGGTTCAGGTCGCGATTGCTTTGCAAACACAGCTACGATTCCTTCAAACCGGAATGCATAACAGTTTTATGACAAATGTATGGAAGTAGTATGTATATTCGGATAATTGAAGAATTCAAATCAGATATCTTGAAAATGGTACATGTATTGTCTACTCATAATAAAAAAAAAATTGTTGCTTGTGGGACTGGACGAGCTCACAGCCCACCTGATGTTAAGTGGTCACTGGAGCCCATAGACGTAACTTAACAACGTAAATGCCACCACCTGCCCTAAAACATGAGTTCTAAGGTCTCAATTTTTACAGTACAACGACTGCCCCACCCTTCAAACTGAAATGCATTACTGCTACACAGCAGAAATAGGCAGGGCAGTGGTACCTACCCGTGCGGACTCACAAGACGTGCTACCACCAGTAAATCCAGTTATGATATCAATAAATTATCTATATTAATAGAGATTTTGAAGTTTACTAAGACGTATATCATTTTATTTTAATCCAGTAGAGGTTTATTAACTAGCTCATGGCCATCATAGGGCTAAGTGGTTATCGGAGCTAACCAAAGCACAGGTTGAATGTCACCACACAGTTTGAGGTATGAGGTCTAAAACTCAATATGATTGTACAATTTGAATTGTTTTTCTTTGTCATTTAATTAAGTCAGTTAGATTCTTATGACGAATAATTACGGAAACACAAAGAAATAATTTCCTTTGTGTCAGAAGTTAATTTTACAATTTTAGATAAAGACAAGAAATGTTGATGAAACATTCAGATTTTAATTATTTTCTCGAATTTTTCGTGGCTAATGAACATCTATTTGAGTTGGTGTTTATGTTATTATGTTTTTCTGTAATGTTTTTTTTTTTATGAATATTTAATAAAGGGATTCCTAAGTACGCACCTCAAACAGCTTCAGGAGTATGTTGACATAGAGCCTCCGAACACCTAATGATTTACCTATTGAAGCCAAGAATATCACACACAATATTAAAAGTAAAAACGGCGTGTAAAGTATTGATATCGCGACCGACACGAACGGCGATAACAACGCCATTTTCAACACTGATTAGATTACTGACTGCGCTGATTGATTTGCGTTTCGTATTGTAATATCAGCCGGCCATTTGTCAATTTCTACGATACATTTTGACTGCGTTCCGTACATATGTGTCCCGGGAGTTAATTTGTTTGATGGCAAAGCGAGATAGATACAGACAATTAGGCAGAGTGAGAGAGAGCTAAAAAAAATGCGACCTTGGACTTAAATGTCAAAAGGTTATGTCAAGAACTGTCAAAATCTTTTGAAATTAGGATAATGCTGCCAAGCTATTGAAGAATTTTTGTGTCGGTGGTAGATTTTACGAAAAAAAAATAAAGAAAATAATTTGGCGAACTGATTTTTTAGCACAATAGAATAAAATTACAGATGTAATTAGTAGATGTAGATGTAGTTAAACTGTTGTGTTACTAAAATTGGTTTACACTTTACAAAATAAATCGATGAAATATGAACGCCTGCGCAATTGCGAAGAAAACAAATTAGATTTTGTTTTTTGTTATTTAATATGGATTACTCCGAAGTGGATAATTTAAGACTACGTTTTATTAAAAATGCATTTTTGCAAAAGGAGAACGCTGTTGCTGAAAAACATGCGCTAATTGTTACCGGTTATTTGTTTCAAGCAAATGTATGAAATGTTCAATTCGTTTTAACGATCCACTTCACATAAAGAAGATAACTAGATCAGCCTTAAATAATATCGAATCGAAAATAAATAGAAGGATTTAACAAGCACCTGGCAACATTAAAATAACCTCATTTCTGGATACTGAATTGGATTTTTCCAAAAAGTATCGTACAAGAATTGTTTTACAGAAATTTTATAACAAAATGTCAGACTTACCATACGGAGCGCCTGTGCGTATATCGCCTCTAATCAAGGTAACTGAATTGTTATAATAAAAATCATCAAAAATATATTATTATACGAATTATGTAACAAGTTTGTTTAGTGTAATAAAACGTAAAACTGAGTTAAATAGATGAAATGTTTAAAACAAAAGCTTCATTTGCGTTTTAATGTGAAATGAATAGGCGATAGTAATAGTAAAATCTAATATTAACATATCAATTCATGTTTTACAAGACATGTTCGTCCTGTCTACCCCATTCAGAATGCACTATATATTAAAGTGATTGTATAATGATAACATGCACACATTATACAATTTACATTACATACCCTCACATTTACTGGTGGTAGGACCTCTTGTGAGTCCGCGCGGGTAGGTACCACCACCCTGCCTATTTCTGCCGTGAAGCAGTAATGCGTTTCGGTTTGAAGGGTGGGGCAGCCGTCGTAACTATACTGAGACCTTAGAAATTATATCTCAAGGTGGGTGGCGCATTTACGTCGTAGATGTCTATGGGCTCCAGTAACCACTTAACACCAGGTGGGCTGTGAGCTCGTCCACCCATCAAAGCAATAAATAAAAAAAAACAAATTTAATTTCAGTTTGGACGTTGGTCCTTCCTCACCGTAGGAGTTCTATACGGCGCCTTCCACCAGAATAGGCTATCAAAGAAAGAAGCGAAACTGCGAGAGATTGAAGCCAAAGAGAAGGTCATCCGCGATGCCAAGCTGAAGGAGGAGAAAGAAAGAGCCTCGGCGCGTGAGTACAACAAATTATGATGAATACAGGATCTTAACAATCTTGTTTCTCTTTCTTCATCTTTGTCGTTTCCTCATTACTGATGGTCGTGACCACCTTGGTCCAGTTTTTGCACCAGCTTCCTCCAATGTTGTCTGCATTCTGCCTGCTTAATGACTCCCGGGACTAAATCCCCTCTAAAAAGTTCTGGGACGGAAAGGAATGGGAAGCTACCGTTACTATTTTTCCCAAGAAAACCACCATGTGAAAAGTCAAAAGGAAGTTTAGTATGTCACTCCGACTGACTCTCGGCGCCAGGACGAGTCCGGGTCTCTTGGTGTGAAGTTGGTTACCGGCTATAAGTCAGTGCGTCATCTTAACAATAGCTGTCTTTAATTGTGTTTCTTACTCTTGAGTAAAGTACTAAAGCATGATGCATGCCTAATCCTGCGGAAAGAATGGAAAGCAGTCGACGTTGCCCAAAACTAACGGTGCTTCTAGGTACTTCAAGCAACGGTCACCGTTCTCGTCGAACCCGTCTCGACGAGTAAATTAACCCTCAGACACAGCCCACTGATTTTCTCACCGGATCTTCTCAGTGGGTCGCGTTTCCAATCCGGTGGTAGATTCTGCGAAGCACGACTCTTGCTAGGGTTCGTGTTAGCAACGTCGTCAGGTTTGAGCCCCGTGAGCTCACCTACTAGTTAAGGTTACGCTGGAATAGCCTCTCAAGGCTACCAGCTCAGGTAGGAAAAAACATCTTTTATATGTGTAAGGTAGGTATGTACCTACCTGTACAAAATAATATTAATGTTTTGTACATTTACCAGCCTGAACCGCGATGCCTCATTTTTGTGTGTTAGTCTTGGCCAAATACTGCTGAGATTAGATAACTAACAGATAGGATAGAACGTTAATGTCTGAAGAGACAATGTGATCCAATTAAATGTTTTTTTATTATTTCAAACTTGATATATCAATTTATAGATACATCACGTAATAAATGAGTCGTCTATTATCAAAGGTGGCAATCTGTGCATTTGGACAAAAAAATGTTATTGATATGTCAATACAGATTGATTTGAATATAATCGTCTCCTTCAAAGAATACGGTTCAAAACCTGCATTAAATAAAGGTTAATACTTAACCTGTTATTTATCTAAGATGTCGTTCAGAAGAGTTTTGTGACTGCCAATGGANTATTATCAAAGGTGGCAATCTGTGCATTTGGACAAAAAAATGTTATTGATATGTCAATACAGATTGATTTGAATATAATCGTCTCCTTCAAAGAATACGGTTCAAAACCTGCATTAAATAAAGGTTAATACTTAACCTGTTATTTATCTAAGATGTCGTTCAGAAGAGTTTTGTGACTGCCAATGGAATACAAAGTCAATAATTACTTTTTCTGATTTACCAATAATTGTCCAAAAGTCACATTGCCGGCTTTGATAATAGTTGACTCAAATATATGTCACTCCTAAGTAAGTTCTGCTTTCTATCGGAAAATATTCCTTTACCAACAGAAAACTAATATTTTTATTTTATTTTTTGCAGTTGAAATAAAAGCATTGGAAGAAATGGCTAGCGGAACAGCTAAGAAGTGAAAAGATAAAATAGTTATAAGTTAATAGTGAATGGTGCCGATATTTTTTTCCACATTTCAATCAAAATCGCAAACTCCGTTGTTATCAATTTATTTAATGAAAATATAGGTGAAAATAAATATTTGGTTGTTTTATTATTAATGTTACAGTGTATTGTATCTATTATTTTTATAAACCCCATCTGGTGTTAAGTAGTTATTGGAGCCCATAGACATGTGCGACGTAAATCCGCCACCCACCTTGAGATATAAGTTCAAAGGACTCAAGTATAGTGACAACGGCTTCCCCGCCCTTCAAACCGAAACGCATTACTGCTTCACGGCAGAAATAGGCAGGGCGGTGGTAACTACCCATGCGGACTAACACGAGGTCTTACCACCAGTATTTACGCAAAATAAAATTTTGAATTAACATTTATTTAATTACAAACGTCATTCCTTGTGACTCCCTCTCTAAAATCACTTAATTATTACAAATTTAACGAATTTACAATAGTTTTATACTCGTTACGGAATAAAACTATTTTATTTAAATAGTTCCGAAGAGAGATTTTGTCGGTAACCTTTTTCCCGAAATATCTAAACAGAATGTCTAAATATGTTTTGATGACATATTATTTTACTAAGAGGCAATGATATTTTATATGTAAAAAGAAGCAGTTATGTTCATAGATTATACACTTAATATATTTGAACAAATACAAAACTATGCCTATACTAAGAAATCAGGAAATACATAGATCCAATGATATTTTATATGTAAAAAGAAGCAGATATGTTTCAAGCGCACGTCAAGTGAAGACTCGAAAACAGGCCAATTGGGACGTTTCGTCTTTAGTCGCGACTAAACAAATGCAATAATAATTTATCAAGTGCAATCGTTCCAATTATAGCTATCTTTTTTACTCACGCGTTTATCCCATCTTTTTTACTTCTCATTAATGCTACTTGTCAATATGTGTGTGCACTATATCGGTAGGTATGTAGATATATATGGCGCGATCAGATTTGAAGAGTCAGTTACTATGAAGATAACATATCTGTTGTATAAAAAATCATTGTTAAGAGGTATTTATGATTAGTGATCAATAGATTCCGACCGAAAAATGGTGTCCGATTTTTCGAATGTGTGCTCCATAATGAGTTTCAATATATTATTATATAGTATAGTGAGGGGTAGATCTCAGGGGTATTTAAAACTATGGGTTAGTCACCAATATCGAATTTCGAATTTTAATCTTCCTTTATCACAAACAATTTTCAGTTTTAAACAATAAATACATTTAGACGCGGGCGCACGCTATTCACACTCAAAACGGAAGCGCCCGGAACATAGATTATACACTGTTAAAAAGATCGACATAGATGCTAACTATGTATAGCGAGCGGGCATACGGCCGCGAGAGTGACGTACCGGTCGGTTTGCTACATACTCCCCCTCTAGTCCTGGAGGACGCCCTCGCTCCTGGACTAGCATCTCATTACTACTGGGCTGAGGGACAGGCGCAAGACCAACCATACCACCAGCTGCGGGAGAAAGACGTGGAGCTTCAGCACATGGTTCAGCATGCCGTGTCGTCATATGCCCTGGAACTCGAGAATCTGTTTTAACATTATTTGGGGGACGACCACGTTTCTTTTTAGGCATCACCGGCCGCGGAAGAGCATCACTCTGATTCTCACGGTATAGAGTGAGATCGTTCACATGATATTTCCCTAAAACTTCATCAGGTTTGTCAACATGCGCGACGTGGTAAGTAGTAGGGCTGACCTTTTTAACGATGCGATACGGACCATCGCGTTTTGGAACAAACTTAGAAGTAAGGCCATTAGCGCTCTTACTGAGGACGTGTGATTTGATGAGAACCATGTCNGTGTGTGTCCGCTCCGACGCACGACTGGAGTTTACTGGATATAAAAA